TTTAATGGCGTTTATAAGTAACAACGTCGTTATTTTAATATTTAGTAACGTTTTGATAATAAACGCCTTAAGTTTTATAAAAACACGAAAGCTAACGATGTTTATAAATGAAAGTACCACTACAAAACTGCCACTAATCTTCTTTAATAATCCCTCATAAAAAATTTGAAGGGTTATTGAAGGCGTTTTTTTACAGAAAATGCTTTTAATAATCCTCTCTAAAAATTTGGATGAGATTATTGAAGGCCTTTTTTACCAAAAAACGCTATCAATAATCCCCTTTAAAAAATTGAAAGAGATTATTGAAGATATTTTTGATAAAAAAAAATACCTTTAATAATCTCCTCATCAAAATTTAAGGAGATTATTGAAGGTATTTTTTTACAGAAAATGCCTTCAATAATCCCATCTAAAAAATTAAAAGGGATTATTGAAAGGATTTTTGACTAAAAAATACCTTTAATAATCTCCTTATCAAAATTTAAGAGGATTATTGAAGATGTTTTTTGTAAAAAAATACCTTTAACAATCCTCTTTAAAAAATTTATGAGAATTCTTGAAGGCGTTTTATGCCTAAAATACCTTCAATAATCCTTTTTGCAAAGAGTGGCATTTTTTTAAAGTAAACGCCGCTATCATGAAAAAATGGAGCGGCTAAAATTTTTTTTCAAAATTTAAACACCTTCTTTCTTCTCTATAATTTCTTTTCTTTCCCTAGCTTTTTCCTTGGAAAAGAATGGTGAGAAAGAAAATTCAAATCAAGAAGATTGACAACGTAGCAATGAGGTAGGTGACTTTCTCAAAGAGGAGATGATGACTTTTCAAGAAAACTCATGAGCTTTTCACTCTTTACAATGCTAAGATAGCTTTTCTAGTCTTTTCAACCGCTGGAAAGCGCTTTGAGTTCTCCAGCACAAGGTTGCTCTCACTTATCTCATATCTATATATGAATGCTTTACCTTGATTTTTGCTCTATCTCTGCTAGTTTAATATAGAAATCTTTGCTTGTTGTTCGATTTAATGTGTTGAATGTGCTTGGGTGAGTGTGAGAGAAAGTAAGAAACGTAATTATTTTGAAAAAAATCTTTCGAATCAAGAAAATTGTATAAAAATATAAATTCATAATAATTGAATGTACTTGAATCTTGTATTCTATTACAAAAGAACTTCTTTTAATAATTTGTTAAAAGCTGGGGGTTTTGGGGTGGGAGGCCATGGTTTCATATGAATGTCTGTATGATATTTGTTGATGCTTGTTCGTACTTTCTTGAACCTTGTTTAAGCCATATTTTATGACTAATTAGCTATCTTATAAGAAGTTTATGCTTTCCATATATCTTTCCTGGTGCAACTTAAAGCACAAACTGATATTGTACCTTTCATTTTTTTTATCAAAACCTGATCTACTGTCTCTTTCATTTTTTTCCAAACAAACTCCTTTTAATTTTAGTTTTCTTAATTGAATCTTGTTATAATTTTAGGTTTCCTACACTCTTTTTGAATGTTCTTTAAGATTTTCATAATGAAATTTACAAATTCTCATGATTTCCTTTTTAAATTCTATAAAATTCACGTTGAACTCAAATTTGGTTTCAAAATCGCACACCTGACCTATCTTCAGTCTTTTGAACAAAACTCAATGAATTTTAGCTTGATTTACTTAAATTTGTTTTCCTAGATTCTTAGTTCATAAGGCTATAATCCAATAAAAATTTAGCCTCAAATTCCATCAGTATAAGTACAGTTAATTCTTCAAAGTTAAGGTTGATCCAAAAGGCAGAAATGATCCATGCATGAGAACTTGATGAATGATGATCCTCTCTCCTTATAGGTGTTCGATTTGATTCTCTCATACTTTACATTCTTAGTTTTACATGTTTACTCATTATTTTTTAGTTGATTGCATTTATTTTCATGAATTCATTTGGTGTTTGGATAGATTTAGTTGTTAATGCTCTATTTTTCTCTGTTTTGGGTATCACTTGAATTGCTAGTTCATTAAGCTGCTTTCTCTATTTTGTTGCCATTTTCTTGTTGAATTTTGTAGTAAACTTGATTGATGAATTGTAGCAGTTGAAAGGTGCATACTATAGACCTATAAACTTAGATTGGTCCTTTATACTTTTTTCAATTACTTTCTAATGATTCCATGATATAGTTTTTGCTGCTGCTAAGTCTATAAAAGCATTGATCTTTATCGACACAACTGTACCATCAGTTCAAGGTGTAGCATAGTTGATTTATCCATTACAGTTTGCATTTATCTCTTGAAACTTTGTTGCGTGGTCATTTTATTTTGAAAGTTTGATTTATTTTCCTCTTGAAGCATTTGAATTCATTCATTTCTATGAATTTATTTACGAGCTGAAAATATAATTTGAAATAGTTTATCTTATAAACTTCGTGGAATCAAATAATCTTTATCTTTTTCCAATGCAATCAAACATGAACTTGATTAAAGATCTATCTCTCAGCCTTTCGTATATTCTCCTTTCTTCAAATTATATGGCACTTCATTTCAAGTCTAGCAATTTCATGATGAAATATGCAAAATGGAAGAACTATGATTATGAAAGGCATTTTTGTGAAATGAACTCAGAGAGGGAGTGTACATCCTTTTGTCTTGTGCATTTATCTTGATCATTGGCAAAAAAATATATCTTAGTTTGTTTTGGCTAAATCTGTTTCTCTGTTAGTTTTGCATGTATGTAACAATGAGATCTTATATATCTTTCTTGATTTTATCTTGCATTACAAAATTTATGGTACTTTTTATAGCTTACCCAGTGACATTTTTCAATCAAGATAGAACATGAAGTTGTGAAGAAGATAAATGAAATGTATTATGGTGCATTTCTAAAAGCACATTTTGAGGCTCTTGGAGAAATGTTCTCTTTAGCAATAAAAGCCAAAAGGAGGAATGGGAGTTGTAGGCTCCACTCAAAGCAAATGCGACTCCTTCTATGAATTCGTTGATGGGCAAGAGGAAAATAAATGCAAAGTGGAATGTTATTGTATGTATTAAACTTTGTGTTACATGTATATTGGAACAAATTATGTATTTAGATATTTAATATTTATAATATTCAGTTTATGAATTTAAATTTATTTTTATTTCTTTTAACAATTTTTATTTAATTATAATAAATATTAAAAGAAAATTTTAAAAAAAGTTAAATGTTTGATTTAACGGCATTTGTATTTAAAAATGACACTAAATACTAAATTAAGTGACGTTTATATTAGAAAATGTTGTTAAATTTGGTGACGTTTTTACTATAAATGTTGTTATTTTCAACATTTAGCAGCGTTTTTAAATACAAATGCTGTTAAATTAACGGTGTTTTTTTTTATACAAATGCCACCAAATTAAAGGTATTTTTATGATAAAAACGTTACTATTTTTCGTGATACATGTATAGACAACATTTTGATTGATATTTTTTGCAAACACCGTAAATTTTTTAATGGCATTTATAAACGTCGTTAAATATTAAAAAAAAAACATCACTAAAAATCTAAATCACTGTAGTGATTGTTTTTAATCAAGGAGATATAACTTGGGATGATGTTGTTTTGACCTTTTTTTTTTTTTTTTTTAACCTAAATCACTTAATTGCAGAATGAACTTCCAATAAATGGAGTGGCTTTCACGCTCTCAAAATGCAGAGTAGCCCTCATCCAGCTGCCGTAATGGCATTATCTTAATTGTACCCAGAGAGATCATGATAGTTGAAATGATGGAGTTTTAGAATTAAAACAAAATTGTACGAAGAATTAAATAAATTTATATTTGAAATTAACAGAATTTGAATCTCGATCCATAAAAATAAAAGTTCAAATGCTTTTTATTCACTTTATTAGGGCGAGTTCCAAGGATGGATCAAGATCCAATATTGACATCGGAAGTAGAATACAATGGGATGTAAGAGCGTTACTTTTTTGTCTTGAAACCTAAAACAAAAGATGGGTTCAAACAAAAATCAAAATAGTTTTGCTCATACAAAGGAACAGCAACAAAGGTCGAATCTAAAATCTTTATCAAAATCTCAACATCCTTCCCACTTGATTTCATCAATTTTTTATTCAAAGCTCATTGGTTTAAGCAAAATTGAGTATGAGAATTATTCATACTTGGAGCACAAACAATAATCAACTTGAATACATCTTTGTTTCTCCTTTCTTTTAATACTTAAATTGTTTTCATTAGCTTCCTGAAATGGTTAGGATGATAAATGATTAGTATATTGTAAAAGTAAGAGATGACACCGATTTGCTCTAACGCCATATATCATCTGATTCGTTAGCTTCACCGCCATGTTAATAATGGAAAATGGTGAGGCAGATAGGCAAAATATATATTTGAAAATAAACGAGACAATTGATATTTATATCTTGTATATTTTATGTTAAATATAAATAAAATATAAAAATTATCATGTTATAATTTATTAAAATTTTAAATCATTATTTTATATATATTTTAATTATTTCTGTGTTTACATATATGTCATATCATAGTTAAAATTAACATATTTATTTAAAAATGTGATTCCTTTTTCTTTCCTTGGCTTGAACTTTATCCCAAGGCACAAGGTGAATGATATGTCAAAATTGTGACGTCATGGATTCACCAGTGTCATGGCTGATTGGAGGCAGGAAATGAGGTGAAAAAAACTCAACCTAGTTTTAAAATTCAACACCAGAAGGTAAAAAATACGATTCCAAAAAGGATTACGTACGAAAAAGTTTTAAGTATGACATGGATCAACCGTTCAAATTAACGTTTCTTGTTTTTTCCATTGCAAAAGAGAATTCCCAAATTCTATGATGCACTTAAATGCTCGAGAAAAAGAAAATTGCAATGGCAATGACATTTTTTTTTTTTTATGAATCCTAATTTTTAAGCCCAAAATTTGCTCTCACTGTTACCACCATTTGCGCCGTGTTTTTGATTTCGTTGAAAGGGTAATTTTCTTTTTGTTTCTCAAATCCTTTTTGCACTGTTTTTGTTTAAACTCTCTTTTCTCTTACTGTCCCACTTCTTGTCCTTGATTTCTAGCTATCCATTTTACTCTACTTCAATTCCAACTCTTAAAGTTCTCAAAAACCTCCATGCCACTCAGTCTTTGCCTTGGTTTGCCTGTTTCTGTCCTTTCTCTAACAAAGCCACAGATGTTTTGATCATTCTGTCTCTGATTACTGAATTTTCTTGGGATAATTCATCCATAAATCTTGAGAAAAAGCTGCTTGTTTTTTGTCCTTTATATTCCTCCAAAATCCACAGAATTCGAGTCATTCTCCTTTTTTGACTTCCTATAGTTCAATGAATCTTGGTCAATGTTTAAGACTTCAAAGTTGTTCTTCGCCTACCGTAATTGAATCCTTTTTTCTCTTGACCACCAAGTATTCTCGTTCTTGAAGTGCTCCAAATTCCTCTTGATAAACACTTTTTGCTTATATGTTTAATCTCTTATTGAGAAACGGAAACTGAAACTGTTGTGATCATTATGTGCTCGGAAACAGGTCCTTGGGTATCATTTTCGCATGATCTCAATGAATCGCAAAGGGATACAATGCTTTTGGATTCTTCTTCTGATTTCGAGTTCAACATTTGCAGCAGCAGCTTTGAGCAAGAATCTTCTTCAGCTGATGAGTTATTTGCAAATGGAATGATACTTCCAGTTCGGCTTCCTAAGAAACAAGTAGCCCAAAAATGTGAACTCCCAGTACTTATTTCTCTTCCTCCACAGCCTAAATTATCTATAGCTGAGAATTCAAAGAACGAGAGCATGAGTCAGATCATGCCTGTAAACTCTGATTTGGAAGAAAAGCCACGGTCCAAGTCTTTTTGGGGTTTCAAGAGAAGTAGCAGTCTTAACTGTGGTATAAAAAATAGCTTAATTTGCTCGTTGCCACTTCTTTCGCGAAGCAATTCAACTGGTTCAGTTCCAGATCCCAAGCGTTCATCGATAAAGGATAGTAACAAGCATAGTTCACAAAAGCTGTCATTCATTTCAAAGACGAAGTCATCGTCATCATCATGTTGTTCTAGTTGCAATGCTTATCAGTTTCCGCATAAGCCTCATTTGAAGAAAAGCCTTGGGAATTCTTATGGCTATGGTGTTCGAATTAATCCTGTCTTGAACGTGCCAACTCCTTACATCTCTAAAGGAACTGCAAACCTCTTCGGTTTAGGTTCTTTTTTACGTAATGGGAAAGATAAGAAGGGCAGGAAATGAATTTTCATTCACTAAATTCCAATCAAGATTATTTGATTTTCAGATCATTGAGATGAAATTCATTCTTTTGCTGATCCAAGTCATGTAAAACAACTTGGTAGATTGTACCGACAATTAATTATTGAACAGATGGAAGCTTAGTTTTACAGGACAAATATTATGATCATCAAATGTAACACCTCAGTCATCAGGATATATATGTGTGTGTGTGTGTGTGTAAAGAGTTAAACCTATATTGGTGATCAGGTACTTTTGGGAGATAAAATCAGAAGATTTTTTAGTGAAAATGGATAATACTTTGCAAGTGGAGTGTGGTTCTTTGATCTGAAGAGAAAAAGACGATTGGAGTAAAGATTTTGGGATGTAAGTTGATGCACATCTAGACAGAAAAACAGGTATCCATCTTTTATGGCTTGTCGGATTCTATTTATCCCCGTATCTTTTGGTTATTTAAAAGAAGCTTTAGGCCTTGGCTTTACCATTCTGTAGATTAAGAGGATTTGGTTGTGTATGCTTTATGAAAGATTTTCTTTTGTTTTGTGTCACCATTCATTCTTCTTTTTAAGAGATTAAGATGAATCCAAATGGTTTTAAAGAAACACAAATTGTTTGTATTAGCTTCAACTACACTTATAATCTAATCATGGACCATTTTTGTTGGGTGTCCTGGCCCTCTCTCTTTTTTTTTTTTTTTTTTTTTTTTCTCTCCTTGATTTGCCAGCAAATTCTACTGTCAACATTTGTTTGGCGAACTGTAAGATTTGTGTCAATCAGGCCAGGAATAAAGGTTTTTTCTCCCTGTGCCAATCATTCCATGATTTCTTCCCTGCTGGGGGCAAAACCCTCTTTCTCTTCCTTCAGGTAGAATCACAGCATTATTTATCTTGCCAAAACTCTACTTCTGTGCACACAAGCTGAAAATAACATATCAAATTTTAAATATATTGGAGAATAGTTTTTTTATTTTGGTTGAAATCAGAAGGACATTGGAAATAAGAATTTGACAAAGAGTTGTGACAGAATAAGCTTGGAATTTGGTGTTAATTACCTGTCTGAGATTATTATCATTTAGAAGCAAAAAAGGCAAATGATCTCTGTCCAAATTTCATCTCACTCTAACCACTTCAGCAGAATCGAAGTGATTACAGAATCTTTAATTGTTACTCTGTAGACTAAAATCACATGAACAAAAACAAGTTCCAGATAACATAACTTTGTCATAGTCAATGTTTTTAAACAGTAGCAAATTTAATTTGGTTTTGATGGTCACTAAAAAATATTGAAACACGTGCTTTTGTCACGGACCTAAGGGGGAGTCCTGAATCCCACATCAAACATAATAGGAAGGTTCCTGGGGTATAAAAGGGTTCACACCATCTCCGCCTTGTGAGGCGCCTTTTGTAGGACAAAATCGTGAGGCCAGGGGGGCCAGAGCGGACAATACCTCACAAGGGTGTGAACTGTGGCGGAAGGCTGATCTGGGACGCCGAAAGGGTGAATGCCCGGGTCTAGGAGCCGCGCGGGTTCGGAGCTTGAGTCTCGACCCGTGACAAGTGGTATCAGAGCCAACCCTAAACCGTTCGATCCACGTCGAGCGCCTCGAGGGAGGTAGGCAGGGTGACCGGCCTCCGTGACGAGGGCGTCACGAGGTTGGGTGCGGGAGAATGTCACGGACCTAAGGGGAGTCCTGAATCTCACATCGAACATAATAGGAAGGTCCCTGAGGTATAAAAGGGTTCACACCATCTTCGCCTTGTGAGGCGCCTTTTGTAGGATAAAACCGTGAGGCCAGGGGGGCCCAGAGCGGACAATACCTCACAAGGGTGTGAACCGTGGCGGAAGGCTGATCTGGGACGCCGGAAGGGTGAATGCCCGGATCCCGGAGCCGCGCGGGTTCGGAGCTTGAGTCTCGACCCGTGACACTTTTACCATATGTCAAAATGTAACATTTACTTTAATTGAGCGGAAAAATCAAATAATAAAACCGTAGTTCACAACTTCACATCGAACTTTTTCCAAGCTTTGAAAGTGGCTCGAGAATTGTACATATCTGCCTCTGTTGCGGTTCAAATTTGTAGTTATTGTTGCCAGTGACATTTAACGCAAAGATTTGTATAATCAAAGGACATCGAAATTCAAATCAATATTGGTATCCTATAATGCGCTCCAATATTCAAATAACGAGGATAGATATAGAAATAAGTAAATAAAAAATAAAATAAAATAAGAATGAGTAGAATAAAACCTTCATGAAATTGAAGCCCACATTATCTTTATAGATAAACACTATCTCAATAAGTACTTTTGAAACTATGGCATAAATATTAGGAGATGTTTAATTCGTGAAATTTTAAATTTTAAAAAAAAAGTGTAATATTTGAAAAAATGTGATAATCAAGGATTTGTTTGATTTTTAAGATATTTAGTATTTAGATTCACTCATTTGATCGAGAGAATTTACGTTTATTAATTTATATATAATTATCATAATCTTTTTGACAAATTATAAGTAACCTTTCATTTTGTTTTATAAATAATAAATACCAAACGTCAAATTATGACCTCAACAGCAAAAAAAAATTTAATTGACTATTTTTTTTAATTTATAAATATCATTAAATAAGGCATTTGTTAACATGAATGTCTTAATTGATAATTTTATATTTTTTAAAATATCATCAATTAAGACATTTGTTACTATGAACGCCTTAATTGACACATTTCTTATATGAATTAAATATATAATCAATTAAGGCATTTGTTTAGGTGAAGGACTTAATTGGTTTTCTTTTATTTACAAAACATGATCAATTAAGACATTTTTTATTATGAACGCCTTAATTGATGTATTAAATTTAATTTATAAAACATGATCAATTAAGGTGTTTGTGTATATAAATGCCTTAATTGACCATGTTTTTTATTTTTTAATACATAATCAATTAAAGTGTTTATTTATGTGAACACCTTATTTGCTCTTATTTAGGATTATGGAACATTAGATCAATTAAGGCGTTGGTTCAAAAGGAAACACCTTAATTGATTAATTTTTTTTATCAAATATGGCATTTATTGGTAGAAACACCTTAATTGCTCTCCAAATAAAAAGTATTTTAATAACTTAGTTAAGGCGTTTGTTATACATAATCATCGTAATTGAGTTATTTTAAAACCATAAACCCATTTACTTTACATTTTTGAACCTTAAAAACCAAATGGCTAAAACAAGTCAATGATAAAAAGAACATTTCATGTATTTCCCTAAACCATAAACCTATTCATTTTCCATTTTCGTTTCTTCATCTTCCTTATCTCCGTCAACTATGGTACCCTCAACATCATCGCACATTGTTTTAATCTAGTAAGTGCAAATTTATACCTTTTCGTACATTGTTTATTCGTCTACATATGCCATTTTTTTGTTCTTCCTTACTATATATATTTATATACCTATTTAGATATGCATTAACCACTATCACCAACGTCACACACCCTCTTAGCAATGCATGCATGATATTTTTTTGGTTGTTTGGTTGGAGTATTTTGGTTTGTCGATTGGTTTTATGGAAAATAGGTCTTATATTTTTCCTCATTTATTTTGCATGGACTCTTATGATATGATGAAACACAATATGGCTTGTATCATGTATAATATTATTGGTTTTGTTATTTTTAATGTATATTGGTGTATTTACTGCATTGGATATTAGTTGTATTTATTATGTCGATATGTAGAGAGAAAGTTTGGTCTATTTTATATAACTTTGATCAACATTACAGGTATTATGGCTTTTGAAGGACATATGTCTCCTTTTACTGAACATGAAGAAGAGAAAATCATAGGAACGTGGTAAATAAATTAAAGCGAGTGGAACTAAAATTCATGTAAAGTTCAATCAAGATGGGCAGCCTGTGTTAAGTGGAGGTGCAAAGTTGGCTAGCCACATTGGAGCTATTGTCTGGTAGAGTATTTCCATTACCTAGCCTAGTTGGCAGATCGTTCTTGATAATAAGAAGGACAATATATAGGATTTAGTTGTGGTATATTTATTCAACAAAATCCAAAGTTTTTTTAGTTATTAATGGAATTAAATTATTGTGTTAAGTTTATTTAATTTAAAATTTTTATAGGAACTGTTTGACATCCAAACTGAGTATAAAAAACTTGTATTGTAATAACTAGGAAAGCATTCAAAGACTTTAAGAGTAGATTGACAAACAAATCTGTTTTACCATTTGCTAATAATTCTAAATTATTGTTTGATCTTCCAACAACATATGCAGATGTTATCAATTATGAATAGTGGTCGTAGTTTGTTCAAAATCGTCTATCAGATGAATTCTTGGTATACATACCCAGTTTGTTAATTATTTATAATATATTGTTTAATATATTTGTATATTAATATATAATTTTTTTTTTTCCAAAAATTTGAAGAACAATAAAAGAATATAGGCCCAACAAGTATATTACCATCGAATATCGAAAAAGGTTATGCAAATGTCAAGCATGATATTGTAAGTATTCAAATGCTTTTTATAACTCACATATGAATATTATGAAATGTAAATGGAAATGTGAAACTTATTATGATTCATGGTTTTAGCAATCATCTAGCTTTGGATCAAAAATTTCTATATGGGATGTTTGAAAAAAAAGACATACATGCAAAAAGATCATATGCAGATAAAGCAACTGAAGAAATGGCTAAAAAGATTGTAAATTCATTTTGTTTTTATATCACATATGACAAATGTGCTTTTACGCATAACCAAATATTGTATTTGGTTAGTTACTCACCATCATGTTGTGTTTTAGGATGAATTTACTTCGAGATATGAATCCAGTTACCTATAAACAAATTATGGCAAGAATCTGTTCTCTTTAGCTTTATGATCCAAAGAGAGATATAGTCGAGTTCGGGGGGTTGGTAGATTTGTCTTGCCATCATAGTTCTTCAAGAATCAATCGAAACCCTATGTAATGAAAAATGTAGAATATGAAGCAATTATTCAACAACAACAAAGATTTGTTGAGTAAGAATAATGCCTTAATGATCAACGGCAATGAGTTGCAACATTGAAGGCAATGTTGGTAGCAATGCAACCTAACATACCTCGTGGTTAGTCTATTACCAATACCCAATAGGGAAAAGAATTTATGAATCAAGTTTTATAGCAAACCCATTCTCCGGTGAGCATCATTATTTTTTTGTTTATTGATTAATTATTTAATTTTATATTTTTTCAATTGGTTTTAGCATTTATATTTTATACTATTTTATAGCAGGATGTTCAGACTCAGATGATGACACCCACACAGTTTGCCATGAATGCATTAACCATTTATGTGCGTGATCGTTTATAGGAGAAATTTGCATTATCATTAAAAAAAGTATAGATTATTTGATTATCCCTCGAGGTCATGCATAGAGCAGTAAAAAATTGAAGCATTTTGTACCATAGATGAGATATCAACTTTTGATATTGTTGTGTATATAAGGTTAGCTTATTATTTAATTAAATATATTATATCAATTTATTTTCCTATATTATATTGTATTACTAAATAATATTGTTGATTGTCATCATGTAGCTTTCTATACAGAGGGATCAAGGAGAGATAATTGACCCATAGATACAAATTCATTGACCCAAATTTGATTAGTAATTTAACTGTTACTATCACTACTTGTGCTCGTCATGTGGGTCAATTATTACAAAAATCGTCTGAATATTATCTAGTGCCTTTATAAGTCTAAGTAAGTTCTATTCGTAGTAATAATTATATCATTTATGATATCTAATACATTCTATATAAGTGTATGCCAAATTTATGTTTTTTCATGTTATACATTTTAAAATAATATCATGCATATTATTTCACGGAGGTCATTGGCAGCTTGTTGGAATTAAGAATGATACATGGACTCGTTACTTATTGAACTTCAAACAACCAAGATTGATGCCTATACCCGATCTTGTCAATTTAATAAAGA